CGAGCAGCAGCTGCACCACCAGCAGCGGGGTGCAGACGTTCTCGTAGACGTCCGTCTTGAAGAAGTACCAGAGGACGACGAGGGCTGTGTTCTCTGCCAGCCGGGCCACGTAGTACACGGCCAGGCGGCCCCAGTTCTGCGACTTGTCGATGAGGTCCCGGTCGGCCAGCTTGAGCTGCACGGCCGACCAGCAGAACATGTTGATGCCGGCGTAGAGGAGGGTGAAGGCGCAGAGCACCACCACCGTGCCCACCCGGCTGAAGTTCTTCTCGATGTTGTCGGGCAGGCGGGTGCCGCTCCGCCAGAACTGCACCCAGGGCAAGAAGAAGACCACCAGCAGGTTGGCCAGCGCGATGGGGATGATCCAGTGCTTGAAGACGGTGCTGAAGAGCACGAGGACAACCACACGGGTGGAGATCTCCAGGCTGCGCCATAGCACGATGCAGAGGAAGGCCAGAGGCCGCAGCTGGACCTTGTAGTCATCGTACTTGACCTGGATGGCCAGAATGTTGCAGACAAGTGCTCCGTAGGTGACCGACACCAGGCAGATGCCCATCAGGACGGCTGCAGAGGGAGAGGGCAGGAGGGTCAGGCAGAGCCAGGATCCGGGCTGTGGGCCTGGCCTCCCTGCTGCCCTGGGAGCGAAGCGTGGGCAGCCAAGCCCCGGTGCAGAGCATGAGGTGCCAGCCTTGGGTGAGAAGTGCTGGGTGCCAAGCACCGGGGCTTGCAGCAGGAGGCTCGGTGTGAGCACTGCTGGGACAGCTCGTGGCTGGTGGTGACAGACCCCGTGATGGGGGGACCTGCAGGCAGCAGGAGGTTCTGCTCCCAGATTTTCTCTCTGGAGTTTTTTCAAACTAGAGCCATTCAAACCATGCTTGGACCAGGCACCACCTGCCCTGCCCTGTGCAAGAAATTCTGCTCAGAGGTGAGTTGGGCATGGTCTGTGCCATGAGCATCCCTCACCCAGGCCAAGAGCCACACCACCATAGCCCATCATTCACCCTAGGAGAACCTCAAGAGCCACTTTCATCTGGTGGCTGCAAAGCCCAGGTAATTTTTAGGGAATGCTGGCAGCTTCTCAAAATCAGTGCAGCCAGGAAATCCACAAGAGAGAAAAAGGGAAGCCGGTGGCTGGCCCCAGTCATGCTGTGCTGCTGGTGGTGGCTGTGAGGCTGAGCTGAGGGAGTCACCAGAAACATGTCAGCAAGGATTCACTGCCCACCTCTGATGCTGGAGGAACACTGAGGCTCATCCTCCCCCTGCTCCTTCAACTCCCCAAAAGACCCTTACAGGGGGCTGTAGCCACGGAGGGGGTTTCTACAGGGCAGCTCCTGTGTTCCCCTTTCTGCATGCCTGCTGTGGGCAAGGTCTGGGCTCCCGGCACGGCCGGCAGAGCAGGTCAGCAGGAGCAGCTCTGTCACCAGGCACTACAGCTGGAGTGGTGCAAGAGCACCCCTGTGCGCCTGGCTCGCCAGCGTGCCAAAGCGGGACCCAAAAGCCTGTGCTGGCACATCCCGTCCCCAAGCACACCAACACCCCAGGAGCAGGACAGGGAGCCTGGCAGCGGGACTGCTGGGCTGGGAGCTCCAGCTGTGGGGAAGGGTTCAGAAATAGATCCCATGGAGGCACCACGGGAAAGTCAGAGCATGTAGCTATCCATAAAAAAAAATTGGAATCTAATGCAGGTACACAACATTTTCTTGGGACAGGGCAGAGGGTGGATGACCCGGCTCTGCAGGACTGGGAGCACAGCCTGGTGTCCCGGTCACAGCCAGCTCTTCCCACTCTCCCCAGCCTCGCTCCAAGCTGGAAAGCAGAGAGCTGAGCATGGGAAAAGCCAATCCCAGGACGGAGGAGTGCCGAACCTCTGCGGGTTATGCTCTACCTTTAGGGGAGTCCCGTGGCAGGCATGCCCCCAGCCAGCCCCCGGAGCTTCGCTCGGATGCCACAGCAGTGTATACGTGGCTAAGGAGACACCCCCGTGCCCCGGCGGGGTGCCGCCCGCACGGCCCACGTGCCAGGCACCCTTACCTCGGGCAGCAGGGACGTACTTCTCCAGGATGCTGATGTAGAGCTGGAGGGTGAGCTGCGGCGTGGAGCCCAGGAAGGCCTGGATGACGGCCATGCGCTTGAAGGCGTTGCGGTGCGTGGCCAGGCGGCGCACGGAGTGCCCCACCTCCTGCTCCATCTCCACCTCGTAGCCCTGCCGCAGCCGCCGCTTGCCGGCGGTGGTGGCGTGGGG